GCTTCCCACCCTGTATGTGTGAAACTGATTGTTCCTTCCTAAGTTGAGTACTTTGCATTTGTCCGTATTAAACTTTATCGTATTTACTTCAGACCATTTCTCCAATTTGTTCATGCTGTCCTGGGCTGCCCTAGAGGCCAGAGGCCCTGCTGCCGGTGCCATGCAGTCCAGGGCTGACCTTGGAGTCCCTGCTGTCACTGTTGACAGGGTCCGGGGCTGGTCTGGAAACCAGAGGCACCGCTGCTGGTGCCATGCAGTTCCAGGCTGGCTCCGGACTATCTGGGGCCCCAGCCTGCGTGGTCACAGCAGCAGCACCTCTGGGGTGGGCGGCGGCTCCCCGGGGGAGCCTCAGCCCCAGTGCTGCAGCCTAACCTGCTGCAGGGAGAAGGGAGTGCTCTCCAGCAGCTACGCGGGGGAGGAGGCGCGGGGATGAGCTCCTTCCTCCATGCCATGGAAAATTGGCTCGTGTGCCATAAACGGTGTGTGCTGTAGGTTGCCGACCCCTGAAATTCATTGTTGATAAATGCAAAGTAGTGCTCATTGGAAACCTTAATCTCAACTATACATAAAAAATTATCGGGTCAAAGTTAGTTGTTACCATTCAAGAAAAAAAGCTTGGCATCATTGTGAATAGTTCTCTCAAAATCCACTCAATATGCGGACAATGTGAATTGTTAAGAAAGGGATAGTTAATAAGACAGAAAATACTATATTGCATCTATATAACTCTATGGTATGCCCTCATCTTGAATACTGCATGCAGATGTAGTCACTCCTCTTCAAGGAGATATATTGGAAAAGGTACAGAAAAGGGCAACAGGGGGAGGTGGGACTTGAACGCATGACCCTCTCCTCCCCAGGCAAGTGCCCTAGCTCCTAGGCCATGCAGGAACCCACCACCTTGGGATAGCTTCCTTATTAATAAGCAATTAATAAGATTGGGACTTTTCAGCTTGGAAAAGTGATGAATTAGAGGGGATATGGTAGAGGTGTATAAAATCATGGCTGGTGTGGAGAAAGTAAATAATCTAAGTGTTATTTACTCCTCATAACACAAGTAATGGGGGTCACCAATTGAAATTAATATACTGTACAGCGGGTTTAAAATAAAACGAAGTATTTCTTCAGACCTCTGTAACCCAAGCGCTAAAATCTTTCAGTTGTTTAATTTCCTCCCTGAAGGAGTGACAAATCGTGACTTACACAAAATACTTTCTGCTTATAGACTATCTCCAGAGTCATTTGGTGGGTTGGGACATTGACGTCTTTTTAGCACTTTCTATTGTCTGAATCTTCAGATTTTGCTCACTTGGCATCCTTTTGACACTTGGAGGCAATTGTCTTGACTTAATGATTAACCAGATTTCCATGGAATCTGCCAAACTAATTCAATATCTCTATCCCCCATTCTTCTGGATGAAAATGCTCACTTTGGCATTCTTTTCTAGGAATAAGGAGTGGGAGGGATTATTCTTTGCTTAGCTTGCAGCAGTTGAAAACGGGTTTTGCTAATAAAGGTACAACTACTATAAGTGTTTTTAGTAGTTTTAGTCAAAATATAATGGAAAAATTGGTGAAAGTTTGTAATAGGAAAACCTTTTTGTATAGTAAATCAGAAATCTTTTTTCATTTGTAACTGCTTGGAGATTAACAGTAATATGCCTTTTTAAAAATAGAGTATCAATCTTGGACATGAGAATAACTATTGAAAGCCCAAATTAGCTAAAATGGGGATTTTATTTTCCTATTGTGTACAGAAGCATCTTTTGGAGAGACAAATCATGTCGATGTCATTTAAAAATTATTTTAAGACCTCTTTAAAAGATCAGCTTTATATTCTACTAGAAGACTACCCAGCTTTTCAGAGCAGGACGCTGGGGGTTTGAGGGATGCAGGAATCCATGCTGAGGTATGAAGAGGGGTTCAGGGCAGGGAATGGGGACTGCAGGAGTCAAGGATGTAGGTTGGGGTGTGAGTGTGGGGGCTGCCGCTGCTAACTGCTCCCCTGTGATCATTCTGTGGTATAATTGTCCCTGCTGTCACATCCCTCCCTTTCTGTTTGAGAAACAATCACATTCTATGCACATCCCATTGTTTGGCACAACTAAACTCTAACCTTTAAGTTATGAGAGGAATCTACATATCAAATTTGGTGTTCCTAGCTCTTACCATTTAGGAGTTCTTGAACAAACAGGCTCATGGACAGACACAGCCAAAAGCACAAACTCTTGTGCATATAGTAGATGTTATGTGAAGTTAAATAATTTTGTTTTAAGGTTCTCTTCATTTTTGTACAAAAAAAATACAACCTTCATATAACCTCTTAGCTCATATAACAAACTTACTTTGAAAGAGTTCTGTTATTGGTGGGGGTGGGAAAGATGTACAGTACAGGTAGTCCCCGAGTTACGCGGATCCGACTTATGTCGGATCCGTAGTTACGAACGGGGATTTCTCGCCCCGGAGAACTAGAGCAGCGGGACGCCTGGTCCCGCCGCCCGCCTTCTCCGGGGCGAGAAAAGCTGCTCCCCGTCTCCCTGGTCTGCTGGCGGAGCCAGCAAACCAGGGAGACGGGAGCAAAGCAGCAGAGCACCAGGGCCGGACCCGCGGGCGCCTCCCCAGCCGCCGGGAGGGGGGGC